CGGCGGCAGTGGGCGGGGAAGCTGAGCAGCCCGACTACCCGGGCACCAGGGCTAGCTGGCTCGGGGCGCTGGGCACGCCCTCCTCCAGGGGCGTGTGTATGGCTGCCCGCCGCCGTGGAGGCGGCTGGGAATGAGTCAGCCGGCCAAGAAGATGCCTGCTGCCTCCGCGCGGAGACTCTTCCCCTGCTGCACACTGGCATCCCCTTTCTGCTTTCGCTTTCGCGCTCTGGCTGCTCCCAGCCCCGTCCCTCCCCAGCCCAGGCAGCTAGGCCAAGGGGAAGTGGCGCCGAGGGCCAGGGCGACGCGCTCACAGGCGCCCTTTCCTGCTAGTGCAGTCTACAGCGCCTGAGTCCAATCAGTCAACTCCGCCGGAGAGGGGTGAGGGTGGGGCGATGAGGCCCCGCCAATGGGGAAAAACAACTTCAACCATGCCAATGAGCTTCACTCGTTCATTCATTCAACAAATATTTACAGACTGCCTACTAGGTGCCAGGAGCCCTGGTGGCGCAGTAGTTAAGAGCTTGGCTGCTAACCAAAGGTCGGCAGTTCGAATCCACCAGCCGCTCCTTGGAAACCCTATGGGGCAGTTCTGCTCTGTCCTGTAGGGTCACTATGAGTTGGAATTGACTCGGTGGCAATGGAGTTGGTTTTTGGTTTTGACTAGGTGCCAGGCTGCAGGCTTCCAAGAATACTAGGTGACCAACACCCGCATAACTGCTTGCCCTTCTGGAGCTTATATTCTAGTTGTTGAGTGCCATCAAGTTGATTTTGACTAATAGTGATCCCATGTGACAGTAGAACTGCCCCGTAGGATGTTCTTGGCTGTAATCCTTACAAAGCAGCTACCTGAGTCTCCTGCTGAGCTGCTGGGTGGGTTCCAACCACCAACCCTTCGCTTAGCAGTGTCCACCAGATCTTCTTTATATTGTAGTTAAAAAAAAAAAAAATCATTGCTGTAGAGTGGATTCCAACTCATAGCAACTCTGTAAGACAGAGTAGAATTATCCCATAGAGTTTCCAAGGCTGTAATCTTTACGGAAGCAGGCTGCCCCATCTTTCTCCTGCAGAGCAGCTGGTGGGTTCCAACCACCAACCTTTCGGTTAGTAGCCCAGCACTTATTCACTATGCCACCAGGGCCCCTTTATATTTTAGTAGGGGCGACAAAAAATGTTTTAAATGCTTAATGTGTTGGGTGAATAATTACGACTAAGAAAAATAATACACAGTGAAGTAGAAAGAGAGGAGGAGATATGCTATTTCAGTTAGGGTGGCCAGGAAGACATCCTAGAGTAGATGACATTTGAGCAGAGAGCTGAAGGATGAGAATGAGCCAGCCCTGTGACTATCTGGAGAAAAGAGTTGCAGGTAGAGAAACCAGCAAGGGCAAAGACCCTGAGAAGGAAATGTGCTTGGCAAGTTCAAGGACCAGGAAAGAGGTCACTGTTGCCTGGAGGAGGCAGCAGTCGGCAGTCGGCAGTAGTAAGAGGCCAGGTCAAAGGCAGACACCTAGAACCAGACCCTGTAGAGCCTAGTTCACTTATCATTAGCCCCTATTCTATACATCTGAATGAAGTGATACATTTATAGCCCATTTACCCACACACAAATGATGCTGTTGTTCAGGTCTATCTTGTATTTAATGGTTTCTTAAAATGTGATGTTCTTAGGTGCCATCATGTAGGTTCTGACTCCTAGCAGCAACCCCATGAACAACAGAATGAAACACTGCCTGGTCCTGCGCCATCCTCACAATTGTTGTTACGTTTGGAGTCACTATTGCAGCTGCTGTGTCAGTCTATCTCGTTGAAAGTCTTCATCTTTTTTGCTGACCCTCTACTTTACCAAGCATGATGTCCTTCTCCAGGGACTGGTCCCTCCTGATAACATGTCCTAATACACGAGATGAAGTCTTGCCATCCTGGCTTCTAAGGAGCATTCTGGCTGTACTTCTTCCAAGACAGATTTGTTCATTCTTCTGGTGGTCCATAGTATACTCATTATTCTTCACCAACACCATAATTCAAAGGCATCAATTCTTCTTTGGTCTTCCTTATTCATTGTCCAGTTTTCACATGCATATGAGGTGATTGAAAATACTATGCATTTGGTAGGCACACCTTGGTCCTCAAAGTGACACCTTTGCTTTTGAACACTTTAAAGAGGTCTTTTGCATCAGATTTGCCCAATGCAATACGTCCTTTGATTTCCCGACTGCTGTTTCTATGGTCCTTGATTGTGAATCCACGTAAAATAAGATCCCTGACAACGTCAATCTTTTCTCCGTTTATCATGATGTTGCTTATTGGAGTTGTAAGCATTTTTGTTTTCTTTATGTTCAGGTGTAATCCATACTGAAGGCAGTGGCCTTTGTTCTTCATCAGTAAGTGCTTCAAGTCCTCTTCACTTTCAGCATGCAAGGTTGTGTCACCTGCATAACGCAGGCTGTTAATGAGTCTTCCTCCAATCCTGATGCCATGTTCTTCTTCATATAGTCCAGCTTCTCGGATAATTTGCTCAGCATACAGATTGAATAAGTATGGTGAAAAGATACAATCCTGATGCACACCTTACCTGATTTTAAGTCATGTATTATCTGCTTGTTCTGTTCAAACAACTGCTTCTTGGTCTATGTACAGGTTTCACACGAGCACAATTAAGTATTCTGGAATTCCCATTCTTCACAATGTCATCCATAATTTGTCATGATCCACACAGTTGAATGCCTTTGCATGTTAATAAAATACAGAGAAATATCTTTCTGGTATGCTCTGTTTTCAGCCAAGATCCATCTAACATCAATAATGATATCCCTCGTTCCATGTCCTTTTCTGAATCTGGCTTGAATTTCTGGCCATTCCTGTCAATATACTTCTGCAACCATTTTGAATTATCTTCAGCAAAATTCTATTTATATGTGATATTAATGGTATTGTTGAATAATTTCCATATTCTGCTGGATCACTTTTCTTTGGAACGGGCACAAATATGGATCTCTTTCAGTCGGTTGGCCAGGTAGCTGTCTTCGAAATTTCTTGACACAGACAAGCGAACACCTCCAGCGCTGCATCCGTTTGTCAAAAGATCTCAATTGGTATTCTGTCAATTCCTGGAGCCTTGTTTTTCGCCAAAGCCTTCAGTGCAGCTTGGACATCTTCTTTCAGTACCATCGGTTCCTGATCATATGCTCCTGAAATGGTTGAACGCTGACCAATTCTTTTTGGTACAGTGACTCTGTACATTCCTGCCATCTTCTTTTGATGTTTCCTGCATCGTTCAATATTTTGCCCATAGAATCCTTCACTATTGCAACTCGAGGCTTAAATTTTTTCTTCACTTCTTTCAGCTTGAGAAATGCCAAGCATGTTCTTCCCTTTCGGTTTTCTAACTCCAGGTCTTTGCACATTTCATTATAATACTTTACTTTGTCTTCTTGAGCCACCCTTTGAAATATTCTGCTCAGCTCTTTTACTTCATCATTTCTTCTATTCACTTTAGCTACTCTACATTCAACAGCAAGTTTCAGAGTCTCTTCTGACATCCATTTTGGTCTTTTCTTTCTTGTCTGTCTTTTTAATGACCTTTTGTTTTCTTCATGTATGATGTCTTTGATATCATCCCACAACTGGTCTGGTCATGGATCATTAGTGGTCAATGCATCAAATATGTTCTTGAGATGGTCTCTAAATTCAAGTGGATTATACTCAAGGTTCTACTTTGGCTTTGGGGGACTTGTTTTAATTTTCTTCAGCTTCAACTTAAACTTGTATATGAGCAATTGATGGTCTGTTCCACAGTTGGCTGTGGCCTTATTCTGACTGATGATACTGAGCTTCTCCACCGTCTCTTTCCACAGATGTAATCAATTTGATTCCTGTGTATTCCATCTGGAGAGGTTCACATATATAGTCGCTGTTTATGTTGTTGAAAAAAGGTATTTGCGATGAAGAAGTCCTTGATCTCGCAAAATTCTATCATGTGATCCCTGATGTGGTTTCTATCACCAAGGCCATATTTTCCAACTACAAATCCTTCTTCCTTGTTTCCAACTTTTGCATTCCAATCACCAGTAATTATCAATGCATCTTGAGTGCATGTTTGATCAATTTCAGATTGCAGAAGTTGGTAAAAATCTTCAATTTCTTCATCTTTGGCCTTAGTGGTTGGTGCATAAATTTGAATATTCATAATAACTGGTCTTCCTTGTAGACATATGTATATTATCTTATCACTGACAGTGTTGTATTTCAGGATGGGTCTTGAAATGTTCTTTTTTGTGATGAATGCGATGCCATTCCTCTTCAATTTATCATTCTGGGTATAGTAAACTATATGATTGTCCAATTCAGAATGGCCAATACCAGTTCATTTCAGCTCATTAATGCCTAGGATATCAATATTTATGCATTCCATTTCATTTTTGATGACTTCCAATTTTCATAGATTTATACTTCATACATTCCATGTTCTGATTATTAATGGATGTTTCTTCTCATTTTGAGTCATGCCACATCAGCAAATGAAGGTCCTGAAAGCTTGACTCCATCTACATCATTAATGTCGACTCTACTTTGAGGAGGCAGCTCTTCCCCAGTTGTCTTTTGAGTGTCTTCCAACCTCACGAGCTCATTTTCTGGCACTATATCAAACAATGTCCCACTGCTATTCATAAGGTTTTCACTGGCCGATTTTTTTACAAGTAGATTGCCAAGTCCTCTTTCCTAGTGTCTTAGTCTAGAAGCTCTGCTGAAGCCTGTCCACCATGGTGACCCTCCTGGTATACCAGTGGCATAGCTTCAAGCATCACAGCAACATGCCAGCCACCTCAGTATGACAGACTGACAGATGAGTGGTGGTTTATTCTTTAAATAAACCT